TCCTCCCTCCCTCTCTCCCTCTCTCTCTCTCTGTCTGTCTCTCTGTCTCTCTCTCTCTCTCTCTCATATTCTTCTGCTGACCCAAATTTCTTGCATCAGGGCTAGTCCATCTGAGTTTGTCATACCTCTTTCAAAGTATGCCAAAGCTGTCTATCACACACGTGTCTCTGTTGGAATGCGGTTTCGGATGCTATTTGAGACTGAGGAATCCAGTGTTCGTAGGTACATTAGTTTGTTAATGCGAAATTCAAAACTTCAGTTCATTTCTATTGTCAAACCATCTAGTGAAGTACAAGTCAACATTTGTGTTGTTCGGATGTGGGATGTGCAAGAATATGTGTCGATCATTTAAGATTATGAAAACTAACGCATCTTGGACGTCTCCATATGGTTTTTTTTATTCTCCTTGGCTTGCATAGATGGTTATGCTGTCTGAATAGTATTTTACTCAAATTAGATATGTATATAATAAAGATATGAAATTAGACAATGGCAATTTGATGAATGCACATTCTTGGTGTCAAATACTTGTTTGTGGCATTTTTGTGCTTTTGTTCTTGGTCTTGTTATTCATGAACAATAATGCCACACATCTTCAGGTACATGGGCACCATAACTGGGATTGGTGACTTAGATTCTGTTCGTTGGCCAAATTCTCACTGGCGTTCAGTTAAGGTAATCGACATTTCTTCAATATTTCTCCAATAACCCTGTAGCAAATCGATTAAGAATGAACAGGTCTACAGGGATGATAATAGTACACCATCATATTAGTTGTCTCTGATTGTTTACTATTATTGTGCGTTTTGTTTAACCATTTTTTTTCTGAATCTGCAGGTCGGTTGGGATGAATCAACAGCAGGTGAGAGGCAGCCAAGAGTATCTTTATGGGAAATCGAACCTTTGACGACATTTCCCATGTATCCCTCGTTATTTCCTCTCAGACTTAAACGCCCTTGGTATCCCGGGGCATCATCTTATCAAGGTATATTACAATTTTTATCTCGAGCATGATGTCATTTGGAGTTTGTTGTTTGAACTCTCTTATTACTGTCAATGTCATAGAAAGGGATATATAACATATGGTAAAATTTGGAGACCGTGCAGTGTATTCACCTTTCTCCACTTGCCTCAAAATTTCTCGTAAAAGTTAGATAATACAAAAGGGCACAAATTACTTTCCCCACCAACTTCTTGAATATATGTCAGAAAATATAAGATGCTGACTGCCTTATGTTGATTGCCTGCAAAATTTGATAAAGACTATGTTTGTTAAACCTATAAGTTAGTTGATAACTTATAAGTGAATTTCAAGCTTATAGCTGATAGCTTATGACTTATGGCTGAAAAGTTAGCTTATATAATAAAATTGTTTGGTAAAACTAGCTGCTAGCTGAAATAAAAATTTCAACGGGTTTATTTGAAAAGCTACCCAAGGAAACTTATAAGATAAGCTCGTCCTACCAAACAAAGCTTATTTGAATACAAGATTAAGCTAACCAAATAAGCTATAAGCTAGCTTATGGTGCTTACCATTGTATTTACTTATAATTAATTAATCTGAAGCCATACCCAAGAAAGGAACTACAGTCATCTTCGTATCACTTTCATTATTTTCCGGTTATCAAGTAGTCATGTAAGTCCATTTTCTATCCACAACTCATATAATTACAATCTTACCCCTCGTCTGATAATCAGATCCCGGTAACGAAGCCATCAACGGCATGGGTTGGCTGAGGGCCGAAGCCACCGGAGACCAAACCTTCAACCCCATGAATTTCCAGCCTGTCAGCATGTTCCCGTGGACACATCAGCAGCAGCAGAGGTTCGACCCCACGAGCTTGAGAAATGACCTCAGCCAGCATTACCATGCCATGCTGGCAGCCGGCCTCCACACTTACGGAAGCAGTGAGCTTCTCAAACACCACCCTCAACAACAGTTGCAGCAGCCGAGTCACTATCTCCAGCTGGCCGGAGGCCACAATCCCCCGCACGCGCTCCCACTGCAGACCCAAATGCTGCCGGAGCCTCATCAGCAATCCCCGGCTGCTGACGTGGCTTCGCCGTCGTTCACGAAGCTCGACTTTTCGAACCTGTTGGGTAACAACCTGTTGAATTTCAACGAACAGGTGTCGGCACAGCAGAGTTGGGCGGAAAAATTCGGGAGTGGGTCGGGAGCTAAGTCCATGGAACAGCAGGAGTCTTGTAGCCTGGACGTGCAGACTCAGGAACTTTACGGTGTGGACTCCTCTACCCTAGTGCTGCCCACCACTGTCTCTGGTGTGGGCCCTTCCTCGTCAGCACATGCAGAGATGTTCCCCATGCAGCTTTTAGGCTCGTCCGGCTATCAGAACCCTCTGTATGGGTACGGGCAGGATTCGTCAGACGTGATGCGGAGCGCGGGGCAGGTTGATCAACCAACAGGGGACTGTACCTTTGTCAAGGTGTTAGCCAAAACTCGAGACTTTTAAAATTGTTAGCATTTATATATATACATAAAAAGATAAATCTTAGGGCGTGTTTTGATACAAATATATCCACTCAAAACGAGTTTTTTTGGTTAACCAGGGTTAAATTTCAAAAAGTTGGTATGGTTACTTGTTAGTGGGATTTTAAGTTTATATTAAAATAATTTTAAAAATAAAATAATTAAATTTGATTTGATGTAAAATTATGAGAGTGAACGAATAGTAAATTAAAGTTGGTTCATATGTAAGAATGATTCATTGATACTATTTAATTATACTGATAATATTGAGGATAGTGGAGTAGGATTAAAGTTGAGTTAAATTTTGAGTATCAATTGAGTATGAGCTGAAATAATTTATAAACAAACACCTTAATGACTGTTATATTTTGTGTAGGTGTATAAAACAGGATGTGTTGGTAGGTCATTGGACATTGGCCGGTTCANTAGTTAATTTGAGTCACGAAAAATGATTAGTGTCCGTTGAGTCAAGAAAAAAAAAAGAAGTTGTGAATGAAGTATAATTTGGGATGATACCAAGAAATTTCAAATTAAAACTATATTTGCAATGAACACTTAGTGTTTGCTTGTTTACAAATATATTGGTATTTGATTGGTTTTTTTTATTACCTATAGTTAATTTTGAAAAATGTGGTATGGTTAATTGTTAGTGGGTATATTAAAATAATATTTAATATAAAATAAATACAATTGATTTGATGTAAAAGTAGGAGAAAAATGATTGGAAGTGATGGTTAGTTAAAATTATGCGAGTGAATGAATAATGAATTAAAGTTTGCTGTGATGAGTAAGAATGATTGGTTGATATTATTTAATTCTATTGATAATATGAAAGATAGTGCGGTTGAGTTAAAGTTTAGTTGAATTTGAGTTTTGATTGGTTTTTTTACTGTAGAGTTTATATCCAAACACACCCTAAGGTTTACCATCGTATATGATCAAGTTTTGGATATTTGAGACGTTTTAGGAAAATTTTCATAAACTTTATGCTATTCAGTCAGTTTCAATTTCATATATATTGCAAATTTCACTCTACTCATTTTTTATATTTTTCACTAGTCACGCACTCGTATATTTCTTTTGAAATGATTTACTCAAAAAACATATTCGTTTGAGTAATTTAGGCTGATGTGCTTCTGGAAAATGTTTCTTGTGATTTGACGGACTATGACAAACAAATGTGCAGGGCATTTGTGAATAATGTATGGTATATCAAAATACTTTCTCCCGAGGATGCATTGAAGCTGGGAAAACAAACGGGTTCCTCTAACGGAGGCACAGTTGAGAGGATAAACAATGCCGATGCCCAGAATCTAGTTTCTGGACTTCCGTCTTTAGGATCTCTCGAGTACTGAGACAAAAGACTATGCATTTTTCTTTCGGCACCCAGACCTCCAATGCGTTTTCTTGAAATTTCTAGAAAGTTCTTCGTTTGTGGACATTTACATGAATTTGTACGTTTGGCTCATGTTGTTGGGCGTGAGTTGTGTGTGATATCGTAAATCTATGCAAACTCGATACAATGTCGATTAATGAACCTGAAGAAGTCGTGAATACTTCTGTTATGACTTGCGGATTTTCTCAAGAACTCATAAACTAGGTTTCTTGCACAACTGCTAGTGTAAGCCCTTCTTATGCTGTCACATTAAGTTGTGTATCTGTGTGTTGTTTGTTATGTTTTGTTCCTTCAAGAGATGAGGGCTAATTGTAGCTTTTCTCTGAACTGCTCTCTTGGACTTTTGATTTTTTCTTGAGGTTATATTATATTGTGTAGAGTAACCATCTATTATTTCATTGGGATGCCCTCCTTACCTCCTTCATTTTTAAATACTTGAAGGCAAATTAACTGATTATCTAATCTATATATACTACTCTAAAAGGATGAGTGCTTTTGTAAAAATATGAACTACTTAAAAAACCCTTACTTTGGCACATTTTTAATGGCAAATTAGTAATACATTAATACACATCATATTTTATATTTTTAAATGTTAAAATGAATTATTTAATAAACCCTTACTTTGACATGTTTTTAATGGCAAATTAGTAATATACTAAAATCAACTACAGTATGTTGGTTTGGCACCATTATTTCTCACAAATTTGTTTTCTTCCACATATCTCTAAAACTGTTTGATAGGATATAGAATTGTTGTTTTGAAAAACGTCATTATTTTTAATATAATTTTAATGGTAATATTGTAATCACATTTCATAACATAAAAGTTCCTTAAAGAAATTAAAATTGATCCAACAAAAACAGCATAATAAACACTTATAAAATTAGAAATCGATATTATTTTTTTCTCATAACGACCACAAAGTATAGAAACATTATTTTCAAAATAACCTATACAAAATGTATAATAGTATGCGAGATTAATTGTTGAATGATTGTTCTGCAACCTAAACTTCTAATCAATTCAATTTCTTCGATACATAAGACCAGAATAATTTTATGAAATTGTATAATACTAAAACTTAATCTATTTGTTTTCACGTTAAATGAGATACCACTTTAGCAACATGGATTAATTTTAACCATATAATTATCCACAAATAAATTAAAAATATCTCGAGAATCATAATATGATTTACATGTTGAAAATTAATTATTTTAATCAAATAATTATATTCATATATTATCATTACTCATCTATCTATTAATATGTGTTATTATAATAAAATGGTTTTTAAGAAAAAAATGTACGAAATAAAAAATTTATATATTTGAGTATAAATGAGAAGATTATAATTATATATAATATAATATAAAGATATAAAATTAATTGATATAAATAAGATATATGATTCAAGAAAGTGCTATACTTTAATTTTATGTATTTTTTAACAAACCCAAAAGTTATACACACACACACATATATATTAAAATACATATGAAAGAACAGTTTAAAGTTAAAAAAATAATAAATCTAATAAATAATATTAAATTTATAACTAAGTTGTAATACTTACTAATAACTATGAAAAAAAGTAATAAATAAAAATATTATAATTGATAAAAGTATTTGTAGAACTTTTAAATTTGTATTTATCGATGTAAATGAGCCAAATTGTTCACCACATGTTAAATTTTTGCGCTTATTAGTTCAATGTATAAATTTTAGAAGATAGACAATAGTTATTTATACTTTTATCCATGTAGGTTAGAAATTTATTTTTATTTTTTTAAATAAAGCTTTGATAAATTTGATTTTAAATAACGTTTTATTTCCTATTAGTTTTTTAATATAACATATAAATACCATACTATATATATATACAATAATACTTTTTATTATTTGATATTTAATGTGCAAGAAATGTAACTCAATTGATAAGTTAATAGGTAGTCTTGCGATAAAGTAATGAGCAATTTCTAAAAAATATATGGATTAAAAAGTTCATGTGTTTAATATATTTTTAATAGAAAAATTATAAATACATATAATTAATATTAAAAACTTCTACATAAAAAATATAATTTATAAAGGAATAAAAAAATGGTACATTGCAATGAAAAATCCAACGGTAAGACATCCACTGAAAATCCCAAATGATATTTTATTCGTATAGCTGTCATTGTAAAATTTCATTGACTATTCCGAGATCAAATTACATTATATTGAAATTTTAATGGATTTAATTAATCCAGTTATCATTATTTGTTATTGTGTGAATTTCCGTTTGAACTTTTTTCGGGTCATTTTTCAACAATTGGAAAAAATGTCACTGGAAATGTAAGAATTTCAATGGAAGTTTTATTCGAAATCTGCCTGCAGTGGTGGATACAAAATAATTTCATACTTGAGGCATTATTTAGTTAATAGAAAAGGTATACCACTAAAATAACATAATGTCATTATAATTTATAAATTATATTTTTCATAATTTTTCATCTTTCTCATCTATAATATATGTTACACATCAATACAGTTACAATTAAAAAAAATAACTTTTCTCAATTCGACATAAGCATATAATTGAAAATAATTATGTTTTTTAAAATTTTATGAACAATAGTTGACTTGCAAATAATTGATATATAATGTTACAGATGGTCGAAATAATTCTAGACTTTATATCATGCATTTTTTGACAAATCTACAGTTAAGAACATGTAAAAGAACACGATAAAAGTTTAAAAAAATATTAAATATGATAAATAATATTAAAAATAAATAAGTTGTGACACGTACTAACAAATATGAAACAAAGTAATAAATAAAAATGTTATAATCAATAGAAGAAATATAAACCTTTTATAAATATACTTATCGACGTAAACGAACTGAGTTGTTAAACGCTTGTTAGTTTTTTCTCCTTATAATTTTATGTATAAATTTGATGTGATAGACAATAGTTATTTGTACATTTATCCATGCAAGTTACCAAAAAAAAAATCTTTATTATTTTAATTTTAAATAACTTTTTATTTTCTATATTAGTTTTTTTTAATATAATATATAAATATCATATTGAACATATAAAATAGGAAATATTCTAATTTTTAAATATTTAATATATAAGAAATGTAACTCGATTGGTAAATTAATAGGTAATCTTGAGATAAAATAATGAGTAATTTCTGAAAAAAAAAATATAGGAACTAAAAAGTTCATGTGTTTAATATATTTTTAATAGAAAAATTGTAAACACAATTAATCTATAAATACTACATAAAAAATTAATGTTTAAGAGGACTACAACAAATTGCTATATTGCAATGAAAAAATCCATGGTAAGGTAATCTACAGAAAATTCCAACTAATATTTCATAAATATTGCTTTCATTGGAAAATTTCATTGGCTATTCCAACAAAGTTCAAATTAAATTACTTGAACTTTAGTGGATTTAAAGATTTCAATTACTTGAATTTCCATTGGATTTTTTTTGGACCATATTTCAATCGTTGGAAAAACTGTCCTTGGTAATTGTGCAAAAATTCAATGGAAATTCCATTGGAAAGCTAATTGCAGTGATAGATCTAAAATAATTTCATATTGGGGGCATTATTTAGTTAATAGAAAAAATATACCATCAAAATAACATGTCATTATAATTTATAAATTAATCTATCACCTTTCTCATTTTGTAATACATTTTAATAAATCAATACAGTCACAATAAGATAAAATATATTTAAGAAACCAAAAGACATGATTTTTCTCAATTCAACTTAAGAAGATCGTTATATTCTTGTTGTAATTTTCGTTGGAATTTTCTCATTTTCATGTAGTAAAAGTAGGACTCCAAATCTATAAAAAAAAATTGCATTATTAGATAATATTATGTGCAACTATTATTATGAAAATAATTATATGATAGAAAATATAACACATTCAATATAATTTTCGTTTAATTTGTGATAATAAGTAATTTTTGTTTCAAAACAAACAAGATACTTTGAAAGGTCCTTAATTATTTTATTAGTATTATAATAAATAAATAAGGGGTAAGAATGATGAGAAAACTTATAGCTCTCATTAAATCAAAGAGTAAAAATACTGATAAAATTACATAATGTACAATATCAATTGGAGCTGGCTAATGAGAAATATAAAACATACTTAAGATACACATATATTTTAACTAGAACTTTTAGGTATACATTTCTTTAAAATTGGGTATGTTAATCTTAAAAATTTTTAGTTAAAAATTTAATTACTTTCTCTCATTAAATTTTTTTAATTTTGAGATACTTCATATTTTTTATTTGTTACTCTTTTTATATGTAATATATCACATTATTTCTTTTCAATAATGTTTGAGTTGACCAATATATTGCAAATAAAATAAAAATATTATATTTATATCGATATGTATATATTTATATCGATATATATATATATATCAGTAATAATTTTAAAATAATAAATTGACCTAAAATTATAGTATATATTAATTTATTTATTCAAGTTAAATCAATTTTATTAAGTATAAAATAACATAAGATAAACTTGTGGTATATTTTTTTTACATTTTTCTTACATAGATTTGAAACAATTCATATTAAAAATAACATAAAAAAAGATGGAGGTAAACTTACAACTATTCTCACATTTTGGCTAGAGCGCCCATTCCCTATATATATTTGACACTGGTTTGCCGTAATGCTGAAACTACAGCGAATGCACCTTAGGTACAAACGAAGCGAAGCGAAGTGAAATCATAGATAAAAGAAGGAAAAGACTAGGTCAGAGAAGGGAAATGAGATAACATTAGCTATGTGAATTAAAAAGACAAATAAATGAGTTGTACGTTAAACTATTATTCAATTATTGCTTGAAAAAGAACCCTATAAAGGTGTTACCATATATGTATTTAGTGATTATGAAAATGACTTAGTTACCTAATATTTTATCAAACATTGAAAAAAATTGTAAATTTTTTAATCTAATAATTCGTATAAAAAGTACATTTTTATCAAATATATTAAATTTACATTATATCTTATGTGATTATAGTAGTTGCAGCCTAATAAAAAAGATAATTTGAAAACATCATTATATAAAACACATACAAAAAATAACGCAATACATATAAATGTGCTTTAATTATTTAGCAAATAAAATATTATTTATCTATAGAATAAGAAACAAATAATATAATAGTAACACACTGAGAAAAAGAATACGTGTGAATTTTTTTAGAGAAGTATGAATACCAATATTTACGAACAAAAAGTCTTTGAAAATTACTACTTTTTTGCTGCTACCGTTTAAATATAGGGACTCTGTAAGACATAATGTATATTTTAATCATGACTCCATAATAATAAACTTTGCAGATGACTAAGAGTATCGTAATATAATAGAATTCTAACTCTTCTCCTATCAAATATTTTAACAAATGATATGTTTCTCAATATTTTCTCATTGTTTTGATTGTTTTGTTTTTGTCATTGTTGGAGAATAAAGAAATCATCTTTATCTTGAATTTTATAATCATTTTGTATGATGAATAATGTTGGACAATAAAAGCATTAAAAAAGTTATTAGACACACAAATATTGCATATTCAAACGAATGTGAAAGATATTATGATATACAATTCTAAAATCATTCCAACAACCACATGATGGTCAATAATTTTCAAATAATAGATTATATTGTTCGTCTGTATTTCAAATAAATAACAATGTCGGAGCATCAAAACAATTTTGAATGTTCGAATGAAGTTGTCACTTTTTATAGAAATATTTATAATCTCATTGGTACATTGTACTCGAACATATGTGCAATTACTTTAGAGGTACTTTCAGGTAATGTATGATGATTTCAAAAAATAATTTAGCACCTCGGGAGAAGTACATGTAACCAAAATTTTGGAAAGTCAACTTTTATTTGGAGATAAAATTCATTCCCACCTCGTGGGCCGATGCATCAATGGGGTAGGCACCAATATGTCAAGAGACAAAGGAATGTAGTAGTTTATACAATGATAAAAAAAATACCAGCAATTTTAATGACACAATTAGTTATTTTATAGAGATATTTATGCATTGTTAGTAGAAGTACCTTATTATAAAGATTATACAATCATAAAGTTTGACTATATGTTGGGTCAGAATGTTTCTTAAATGTTTGAATAAAATTAGCGTTTTGCCAAATGAATTAAGAGAAATTTTGCAATAGTATTGATGTATTAGACTCCAGCGAGTATGAATGTTTCTTATAAGAAAGATGAAAGAAAATCTTAGTGGTTTTTATATTAAAGATTTGTTTTTTATATATTTTAGTTGAGGTTGTAAAACGTTATTTCACTCTTTTTATATTAGGACATCATTACGCTAATTATAAATTAAAAAAATCACATATGAATTCATTTGTTCTATATTTTATTTCATTCCTGCAATGATATGTTTAATAAATAAATTAATTTATTTTACAAACTTACTCAACAAAAATCATTCGATACCACGTGCATCGCACGTGCACTTTACTAGTATTGCAAATATAATGTTCCTCATGGTTGGTTAGAGCAAATTTCCTCTTTAACTTTTGTGCACTTTACTAGTATTGCAAATATAAGGTTCCTCATGGTTGGTTAGAGCAAATTTCCTCTTTAACTTTTATATTCTTGATTCAATCTCCTTACTGAACTAATGTCATAAAAAATGAGATGGTCTCCTATCCTATGGTGCATGTTGAATGTTCAAGTACAGTGACATGTCAAGAAAGAGAAATAATTTAGTTTATCAATTAGTTTATATAACTAATTTAGTTTATATAACTCTTTCTACATACATTATAGGTTATCAATTAGTTTTAAAATTACATTGCTTTTGAGTTAAACAAACTTAATGGAAGCAATTGTTTATTTTCAAATAAATTATGCACATGGATTAAACTTTGAGTTTGATATGGTATACTATACCAACCAAGACCTTGTGCGACTTGAGAGCTCGAGCGGTTCAAGTGGAACCAATGGTTCAGTGGGAGGTCGGACAACATGAAGACTCAAAGTCGAGAGAATATCAGGTCAATTAGGAATCCAGAGTCAAACAAGTTCAGCAACAGGTCAAGCTAGAACTCTAGGATAGTCGGATGGAAACTTGACCTAGAAGTGAAGAGGTCGATGGAAGACCTAAAAAGCGGACTTTCTCAGTGAAGACCAGAACGGTCAAGCATAGAAGAAACCGAGTTGCTAGCTCGACTATACTTAGAATGACTACCTAATGATGTAAACTAATATGAACACACCAGATAATTTATAAGTAAGAATATGATTAGGATAATGACACGTGAATAACAGAATTGGACAGTCCAGACACCCAAACAATATGATTATGTAGTTTGGGTACTCGGGCAACAAGATCAGGAACAAAGTATCTCTATGAATGGATGAATTATGATCATCTTCTCTCTACACACTCTGAATATTCTAGACTTACATACATCATATACATCTTCATTCCCAATGTTGTTTTGCATTCGGGGTACGTCAAACCGAGGTTCTTTACACACCAAAGTTATAAAATTTACTCCGAATCTAATTGATTGCACAATCTATTTGACTTGGAAGTTGGAACACAATTCATTGAATATGGGTTAGTTTGGAGGAACTATTAATTAATAGAGATAAACTTAATATTGTGAAAACAATGATACACATGAATCAACTTCAGCCAAGTGGTAAAACGCATGTTTCCGAGCAAGCATATCCGAAACCATGTTCCATGAATGTAGGGGGTAATTAATTTTTCTTGATTTATCAGAACAGATATTGTTTCTATTTAGAAAAATGCAGGTTCTTTATTAGCCCAACATAAGTCCACATACTACTTTTAAGAGATGAATACTTTTAAAATTTAAAACAAATTAATATTCGATCACGTGCACATACATAGATACAAATAAAATTTTATATGTTGTGTGTGCATATTTAATATTTATAAGCATAAGGTAGATAATGAGTATATCACATTTTATAAATTTTATCATTAGTAAAAATGAACGATATAAATAATTTATTTAACCTACATATTAATCTTTATATTGATAATAGTAATATAATTTTTCGATATCGACTGATTATGACCACTTAATTAGATAAAATAATATTAAAATTATTATTATTAACAATTGTGTACGGAATTTTATGAATTTTGGTTATGCCATAGAAAATAATAACTAATTTTTATAAAAATAAAATTTGCTTAATGAGCTGAAAAATAAAAAATTAATTATTTTAACTAATAGTTTGAAAAAAAGGTTTTAAAATATAATATTATTTAATGTGACTTTATAATTAGTTGGTAATAGCTATTATATAATAAAATAAATAAAATATAATTAATTGATTAATGTAAAATGCAATTATGATAAAAAAAACAATTGTTGTACAAAAAATTTTCCAGGTTGAAACAGGAATAAATTGAAGTTGGACAGAGCTTTTCGAATCCGTAGTAATAAATTCTCATATTGTTTTTATTTTTATTTTTTCAAATTTGCCCCTTTTTACCTCACAAAATATATTCGGCCACCTCACTTTTTATTTGGCTAATTTATTGGAAAAAATTATCGCCAGAAGAATTCTATATACATTATTGTAAATTTGTAACCTAAGTGGGGTGTATTCAATTCGGAATTTAAGTGACATTTTAAGACTTTTCGAGATTTGAGACTTTCTAGAATTTTCAGATTTTGGAAGAATTCTATGAAATCTCAAGTCCGAAGGTAGGATTTGAAGTGAGATTTCATGTAAGGTTTTTTTGTTTAGAAATCCCACAAAATCTTAAAAAGTCTTAATAAACCCTAGTATTAAAAAAATTAAATACTTCATAATTTTGTAAGACTTTTGAAAAATCTCAATTGAATACCCCAGGATTTTTAAAAGTTTTAAAAAGTCTTAACAAGTCTAAATTGAATACACCAGAATTTCTAAAGTCTTAAAAAGTCCTTAAAAATCCTAATTAAATACACTGCCCTTAAGACTTTCACAAATCACAATTCAGTAAATTACAGTCTATTTGTTTCGAATATAAAAATAAATAAATAAAACGATTCATATAGGCGGATGACTATAAATAACGTCGTTTTCATTCCTATTTTCTTTCCTTCTTAGAGAGGAGAAGAAAATCGAAGAGGTGGAGTAGAAAACTGCTCAACAATGGTGGGAGTGCTGTCCAACAAGATCGGGAGAGACGAGCTCAAGCCCGGAGATCATATATATTCATGGAGGTACTCCTATCTCTACGCGCACCATGGTACGCTCGCTCACCTCTTTCTCTAGGTTAGATGTTTGATACATTTGCGTGTTGTGTTTTTGGATTTCAGTTTCGGTATGCTGCAATTTTTCTGTCCAAGTACCCTTTTCGATTAATTCAATGTACTGTTAGAAACCCCTTTTTTCTTTGTTTGGATTCAACTTTTTTTTTTTTTGCATGGCCAATGATTATTCACTTGAGAATTGAAGATAAACAAAAAAGTTTCTCCTTTAGTCCAAAGGGGATGAAAAGATGAAAAATATAGAACATGATTGAAACAGGACATTTTTAAACTACTGAGGAAAACTGCGGTTGGATTGTGTTGGTTTATATTGACTTGGAAGAACCTGTAGTTCATGCTAAACCTTACAGTGATCCCATTTTTCCCTATGTCTTACAGACAGTTGGTGAGCTTTTCTTAGGCCACTTGCAACTCGATCAATCCCTCTTTGACATTTCAAATCTTGTATATTTCTGCTATAAAATTAAAAATGGTGGAAATTTATGTGTTATATGTCCAGAAACATCATCTTAAGTTGCCGCAGCTGTAAACTTTCTTGTGACTTTACTATTTTTTGTCATCAAATAGATATGAATGCTACTGGAGTAGCAATAGACCAAAACTCAGCAGCCTGAGTTATCTTGTTAGTTTTTTGTTTGTATTTTGTAGAATTGCTTGCTTACTTTATTAGTTCTTTGTCTTTGGCTATAGTATTTTTTGTTCTATTACTTGATAATAGGAAGAAGAAAGGATCATGCCGAAGAAATTAAAAAACATGATATATATACAGAAGAGAAAGTTTCTTTCTCTATTTTTTGAACTAAAAAGCGCTTGATATGATACATATGTTGCGAGTCTGGCCAAATGCTTGTATGATGGATGAACTGAAAAAAGAAAAAAAGTCTCGGTGTAATGTGGAGGCATCTGCAACCTTAAAGCCTATCTTGACTTAAGCAGGATGGTTATAAAAAATAAGAAGGAATGTGTTGTACTAGCGCCTAGTTTTGCTGCCTTGTTTTGATACTCCTATTATCTTTTTTCTATTTGTTTATTTGCTTATTTTCCTAACCATATCATCCGTAATGTTATTTATGGCACTGCAACTAGTAAATTGTTGATATTAAATGTTCAATATGGGTGGCCTCATACATTCCAACTTTTTCCTCTACATATTTGTTTATCTTTAGTCGTCGATTTCATCGTTCGTATGCTAAATAAAATAGTTAAATTGTCATACTAAAATTTTACTCCCATATTCTCCCCCTGAAGAAGTGCTTATCCCAGACCCCCAATAAATAGCCACACATGACCATGCTTCCTCGAAGGACAAAATCAAACATCACATCGCTTCAACTACTTGAAAAAAAAAACTTTTGTGAAATTTTTGTCTTTCTACCAGGAATATACATAGGTGAAGGTAATGTGATCCACTTCACACGTGGGGCTGGGCACGAAATCGGAACCGGCACCATCTTGGACCGTTTCATCTTCAGCTCATCCCCGACCAGCAAATCGGGTCCCACCTGCCGGACATGCGGCGACCAGTCGAAATCCGACGGCGTAATCTCCTCGTGCCTCGACTGCTTCCTCTCGGGTGGCGACCTTTACCTTTTCCAATACAACGTCTCGACAGCCGTTTTCCTGGCCAATGCTCGAGGAGGCACGTGCACTCTGGCCAAATCCGACTCGCCGGAGGACGCTGTGCACCGGGCAGAATACCTCCTCCAGAACGGGTTCGGGGGATACAACATCTTCCGGAACAACTGTGAGGATTTTGCCATTTACTGCAAGACGGGTTTGCTCGTTTTTAGGACGGTGAACATGGGCAGAAGCGGCCAGGCGGCGTCCTGCCTGGCGGCGGCTAGCGCGTTCGTGTCGGCACCGTTAAGGTTCATGACGACGGGCTTTGCCGGGCTCACGGTTGTGGGGTGTGGCATGTATTGTGTTAGTCGGGTGGTGTGGGATATTGGGATGAGGTGGGACGTGATGAAGGTCCCGGTGGAAAGGCTTGTTTTGCGGGCCGGGCTGGATGGGCTTGAAGGGGATGTGGAGGAGGACGCCAAGGAGAAATAGCGTGTGCTCCTGCTAAGTTTGGCCTGTATGGATTGGTGAGCTATTTGTAGATATGGTTTGTGCAACTATTTTAGCACCTTATTTATGGATTTGTTGTTCAGAGAACTTTGTATTTGATTTGATACTTAATTTTCTACTTTGTCTCGTTTAATATCTCAATCGCTATTCACCGCCCCCTTTTTACTAGTCACTGCCCCCCATTTACTCTTTTGCCCTTAACCCTTTTTTTGATTTCATCTCTCTAAACTTTCTATCTCTCTAAACTTCCGAACTTCAACGAACGATTCGAGCATCAAAAAAAATCCAAAAAAATGTCGAAAAATTTCTACGGCCTCGGCAAAGGATTCTTCTCCAACAAGGTAAATTTTTTTTTTTTTTTTTTTACCGGAAGTATTTTTAAAAAATTTTTTTTTGAACCTGCCGAACCGGCCGGCCGTCGGTTCCGGCCGGTCCGGGTCCGTCCGGCCGTCGGTTCCGGACGGACCAAAGGTTGTCCGGTCGGCCGAACCGGCCGGCTTTTGGTCCGTCCGGAACCGACGGCCGGACGGACCCCGGCCGGTCGCGAGCCGGCCGGACAAAAATCAATTTTTTTTTTTTTTTTTTTTTTTTTTTTTTTATAATGACAATAAATAAATAAAAAAATAATTATAATTATTATAAATTTTAAATTATAATATTAAATAAAAAGAAAAAAAAATTATAATTATTATAAATTATAAATTATAAATAATAATAATAAAAATAATAATAATTATAAATATTATAAATTATAAAAATTAATAATAATAATAATTATAATTACTATTATTTGTAAATCATAATTATAATAATAAATCATTATAATAATTATAATTAATTATAAATTTGAAAAATAATATTAATAATTATAAATTATATATGCTTATAATAATACTATTATAAGAAATAATAATTATAATTTGTAATGATAATTATAATGAAATATAATAATGATTATAAATTAATGTTAATTATAATAATTGAACTAAAAAATTATAATTATATGAAAAGAAAACAATCATAATTATAATAATAATTAATAAAATAACATAGAAAAGAAAAATGAATTATAATCTATTTTAATAGTTATTAGAATAATCATTACATTGGAAAAATCTAATAATTATATTTCTGATTCAGGGTGTTGGCAGACCTGGACAATCTAATGCCAGGGACGACGACGAGGCGTACGATGATTATTATGATGGTTCTGACACCCGACACACTAGAAGTCGGAGTGTCAATGCGTCCGTTCGTCGGGAGAGGGACGCGGAAAGGCAGGCGTTGATCGATGAGGCTCGTAGGGTACAGCTTCGTCAGGCGAGCCAGAGTTCCCGCCCCCCCGCACCAGTGCCCACTGGTCCATATCATTTTGAGGGCCAGCCAGGTAGTTCGCGACCCCACGGAGCCATCCCGTACGGCGAACATGTATTTTATTATCCTGGCCAGGCGGGCAGGACGATTCCCCCGGCACCAGTACCGTACGATCAGCCGGGATGTGCTTTTCCCCGGTTCGAAGGGAAATCGTTACCCCCCCGCGCACGCGTACCATTACCTTATGGTCAGCAGGGGTATGCTGATGATGAGTCGTACGGCGAGAGGGAGCCGGGTCCAGAGGACTATGACTCGGACGACTCTTTAGATGATCAGGACCACGCACAGCCTACGGGTCCTATCCACCCTCGTCCTACTGTACAGTCAGTTCGTCCGGTACAGCCGGTTGTACAGCATGTTCGTCCGGTACATGCTGTTCGTCCCACACAACCTGCTCCTCAACGGCAGGCTGGGGGGCGTTTTGGCCCTTCTGCATCCTCATCAGGTAAATAATTTACTTATTTATTGTTGTTTAACATAAATTATCGGTACTGTTAAAAAAGTATTATCGGCCTGCTCGTCAACTACAGTATTATTATTTTGTAATTTAGGGTAAGTTGAATAAATTGTAATTAATTATAAATTCAAAAAATAATATTAATAATTAAAAATTATATATGCTTATAATAATAACGTAAAACGTAAAATGTAAAATGTAACGTAACTAATAAAATATGTTTTATTAAATATATTTTATTTAATGCATCTGCCAGCAAGTCAATATATACAGATATGTTGTATTTTAATGCAGGTACTAGCAAACGAGCTAGGACCGATGATGATGCACCTTGGATCGTTAGAGGCCCAGTGCCCGGTGGGCCCATTGATGGGAGTGTCATCCCTAGCTTTCTTGGGCACGTCGCCTCCCGCATGTGGAGTGGGAATTTGAGGGGGCTACTGAAATGCCACAACAGAGTGCGAGCGATCGATAATCTGAAGGCTTGGCGTGAAGAGATGTCTTCCGATGCTGGAGCTCTTCTCGACCAGACCGGGCTGTCACATTTGGTCGACTCCATGCACACCCAGTTGGACACCCCACTCCTTTCTGCTTTTGTGGAGTGATGGCAGCTGGATACTAACTCGTTTCACATGCCTTTTGGTGAGATGAGCATCATGCTGCACGACGTCCGGGCCATTTTGGGCGTTCCAGTGGAGGGAGTCGTGGTCGCTGAGGACCTGGATTCGGACGCCTGCCATGGGCTCTGCATGTCGATACTTTCGGTCACCAAGGGCGAACTCATGAGTTCGTTCTGGCAGCGTGGTTCGGTGTCCGAAGTCGCCATTTCGGGGGCATTCAGGGGGAAAGACCGGCCGGCTAGGGATGAGGCGGGTGCCTGGCTGTGGGTGATGCTGGCTACCACATTGTTCGTCGACAAGAGTGGTAGTAGAGTGACCCCCAAGCTCCTGCACGAGGTGCTCGACGACTTGGATTTGATTGAGGGTTACTCATGGGGATCGGCTACGCTGGCATACTTGTACAGACAACTAGGTATTGCCAGCCGAGGTGACTCTGCCCAGATGTCGGGCTGCTTGACTCTTCTACAGTCTTGGATATATGAGTATTTCCCCGATTTCCGACCCCGAGGGCGTCTACCCATCGGTCCTGACTGTCTCGCACGATCACGCTCGTGGGGCGTAGGGAATGCGCCACAGTCAGACGATCGGCTCACAGCCATCCGTCGGCGCCTCGACAGACTCACTGCCTCCGATGTACGTGAATTTATTTTATTTAAATTTAGTTACCCGTTATTTAAAATAACATAATTATTTTTATAAATTCTCTTATGCAATTGTGAACATGTATAATGGTTGCCATACGGCAGCTCCAGCCCAGATGCGATAGAGCCGAGGACTCTTTATAGCGGATGGATTCGATACCGCGATGTCGTCGAGCCGTACTTGCCTGCGCGGTGTGTGCGTCAGCTGGGGTATGTCCAGACTGTCCCTCCCCCTATATTCCCGCCAATCAGTGCAGTACGTGCTTAGGAGTCTAGGAACTACAAGGTTGAGTATTCTGAGGCTGGTGCAGTATCCCTCTGGACCCAGTTCCCTATGTCTGGGACGGTCAACACAAGTATGTTGACCCAGACCACACAGGATCGCGGGGAGGCGACTGAGGATTATCTGCAGTAGTACAGTCGGGTTTCCCATCCGACTCTCATGGGCGAGTAGCTGCCAGACGAGGACGAGGTCCCAACGCGTGTCAATACCGCCTATGTAAGTTGGTTACTAAATTTTAATTAATGTTAACTCATTACAAATTTTTTTTTTTAATAAATTTTAGTCTTATGTTTTTATTCTTCTATTTTTTTAGTGGGTGGACCGTCTTTTGGGCATTACATCGATTTGGCAGCAGGGATGCGATTGTCCGGTGGCGGCGGAAGTCGAAGAACAGCTGGCTAAGTTTAAGTTGGATTACGACAATGCCCAATAATAATGTAATGAATGTTTTTTTTTTTAATTATTATTGTAAAACATTAAGTTGAATGATTTTTTTTTTAATTTGCTAAACTTAAGTTGAATGAGAAGCGTCATACCATAACTGAATAATATCGTTCTTTTATTCAAGAACGCTTTGTTTGAACAGTATACCACAATTGCAACCTAGACAGGTACTGATGCTCCCAACCCACAACCGATTGATCTCGGTAACGGAACCACATGTTATGAATAGGCGGTAATGGACAATCATCAGTCAAATCTAATCGAATGTAGTGTTCTACGGTACCAAGATGGCAAATGGCAATCTCACGACATGGTCCTCTAACCGATGATCGTGCAGTGAGAGGCAACACTGTGGTGCTGAATAAGTCGTGCTGCCCACCGTTTGGACCAGAGCTCAAATGAACGACAACCACATTAAATAGGGTTGCAACGGCATAGAGGTCCTGCGGAACTTCGAACCAGTGAGTCGGTCCACAAGAGCCTCTGGCCCACCTTATGCGACGGAGTCCGGCCTCGATATCTCTAAAATAGATGTACTCGTACAATTCAGGGTGGTTGTCGACCTCCTTCGCAATGTTTTCTCTTGCATCTGGCCAGTACTTCTGATGACCATACATGTGACTCGCGATGACCCGAAATCCGCAGTTACCATCCGCTTCCACATTCAGGTAACTCACTATGTAGTCCAACATATGCCAGGGGATACATTCCCAGTATGAAAATCCAAAAATATTTGTCGGTCTAAACTCTGCAATAAACATCATAATAATTTCACGTCACAATTTATATAATCATATAAATACTTTAATTAACGCTCAGCCGTATTTAAAAAAAAAAATGTATGACCTTCATCCCCTTGTGACTGTTGAGAAGACGAACTTGTCTGTCCACGCGAAGAATTGGTCGTACGGCTCGATTTCCGACCTCGCGATTTTTCGTTGTACTCAAAAGCAGATGGTTTACGCTTAGTTGAATTAGTTTTCTTGGGACGACCTCGCGGGTTATCCTTAACCTCAGGTTCCGCATAATCCTGTTGGTCTGGGTAAAGATGACTGTACATGAACTTATTCACGTACCGCATCGTCACGGGGTCACGGGTTTCAACCTCAGTCACAAGCGTATGAAAGAACGTCGCATCTGACCATGCAGCGTTGCTCGCCTGGCTCGGATGACCAGTCCCTACAAGTATACGATAAAAAAGTCAATGAATTAAAACAAATAATGTATTTTAATAGAAAATTATAAATAAAACATTAATCTTAAATTACCTGGCTCTAATATCTCGAGCGTTCTCCAGAACTGGTGAATCATTCCGAGATCAATCGGAGCGTCGAAATCTT